CCCAGCATTCCTTTCTATCCTACTCAAGTGTCTATTTTACAATAGTAGGCAAGGGAAACCAATATTCATAAGACAGTCAAGCATTTTAGTATTATTTCCCCTCTTCAAGTTATGCCTAGATCCCTGTATCACAGAGCCCTGTTATTACAAGGTTGAGCATGCATCACTATTTGCTGCTGTCCCACTTAACCCATGCAAACCTGTCTCAGTGTTCCCCTACCTACCTTGTTCTTCCAACCCCTCCCCCTTCTTGACACAACTGTCTTTTGTATAAAGTAAATCAAAGGAATATTTCCTCATGACAAAGATGTAATAAAGAGAATTGTTTGAAAGGGTCTTGGAGCTGGATTTATCTAAAGTTTCCCAAACCACGTTAAAGGTTTTTATTTAGCAAGTTGTTTGGGATAAATGAGGTTTGGTATTGTGAGAAACATTGCCCATACTGGCAAACGGCTCAAGTAATCCAATCTGTACTCATTGTAGCCAGAGTAATGTTTTCTTCATTCAGTTTTGTAAAATCAGGCTCCCAACCTAGTAGACACGGGCTGACGCATCGCATGGCCCGCCCACAAACAGCTTTATTCCGATCTCGAAAAAGCCCCTCCCCTAGTTCCAGTTTCCCATTTATAATTCTACCCAGAATGTCCTATTTTCTCTTCCTCTAGAGTAACCAGAATGGTGCCCTGGGTCTTAATGACTATTCGTATTAAAGTTCCTAGTCCTAGAACAGATTTCTTTCCTCTCTTCTCCCAATTCATCCTGTGTACACATCCCTGGGTGTGAATTAACAACCTATATCTGGTCTAGCAAGCTCATGAGCCCTTTATTCCCACAGATGGACTGTTTTGAGAATTTCTCACAAGATGAAATACCAAGATGATATCTCACATACTCCCAAGATAACTGGCTACAGCTGTATAAACATATATGGTTTCCAAGGAGCAGTTGGTGGGTTTGAACTGCTGATCTTACAGTTAACAATCCAGCGCTTATTCTACAGCACCACATCAGGACTCTACTAGTGATGTTTCATGATCTCATCTGAAAGCTTTGTGACTATGATTGAAAACCTCTGCAATTACTTTCTGAAATCAATCACTATAATCCTTTATATATAATTATCCAATGAAGTCCACTCTTATCCCTAACCCATCCAACTGTGACCTGAACCAATGACCTCTTTTGTGATTGCTTTGCTCCAATGGACTATGTCTGTCTGTGTTAGACATGTGAGGTAGAGTTGTCACTTCTCACTTATTCGGGCCGGTGTCTTCTTGCATCCAGATGTATTCTGTTTTCTTTGTGTCTGAATAAACCCTCTTAATTTTATGTTTATGAAATAAGTGGGATTTTCTCTACAACAGATTCAAGTTCAACAAGTAACATTTTGGTGATAATTTGGCTTCCCATGTAGGATCTATCGAGGGAAATATAAACGGTATTGTTGTATTTCATCACAAGTAAACAAATCGGGATTATCCAGCATTCTGGATTGTCCTGCAGTTGCTAGCGAATGAATTGATTTAACATGAGTCCCGGAGAAAATTATCAACAGACCAAAGCTGGAGATGCTGGAGTGAACCACCGGAAACACAGGAACTCCTGGCTCACCCTGTTGTTGTTAAGTGTTGAGTCGGTTCCCACTCTTAGAGGGCCCTGCAAAGGGTTTCCGAGGAGCAGCTGCTGAGCTTGAACCACTGACTTTGTGATTCAAATCGAGTTTGCAGTCCAATGCATTAACCCACAGTGCCACACCAGGACTCCTAGCTGTTATCTATGGTGACATCTCCAGGTCATCTTTTTATACTCCCAATACTGCTCTGGTAGCGTAGTGGTTACGAATCGGGCTGCCAGCAGTTTGAAACTACCAGCTGTTCCACGGGAGAAACATGAGGCTTTTTGCTCCCGTAAAGATTTATAGCCTCGGAAACCCTGTACAGGGTCGCTCTGAGTCGAAACCGACTCCACGGCACATAACAACAACAACAACAACAACAACAATACTGTTACAGCTTTGAATTTTCTTAGTAGGGACAGTCTTCTACATTGTTGTACCCCTGGAAAGGTTACTTGAATCTTAAACAGATAGTTAACAGTACGTATTCATCTTGAAAGTCCAGTACAATCTTGGAAGGTACTAGGGAAGCACTTTCAATTCTTCATTTAAACTATTTTCATTAACTACCACTTTCATACATTTCATACGTTCAGCAAAACATTGTCTGAGGCTGCATGGCAATAAACAGACCTACTATAGCCTCCCTGGTGTGGCGCTGTGGGTTAATGCGCCAGACTGCAAAGCCGTTTGAACTGCAAGGTCGGCAGCTCAAGCTCACCAGTCGCTCCTCGGAAACCCTGTATAGGGTCGCTATGGGTCGGATCCGACTCCATGGCACTTAACAACAACAACAACAACAACATAGTCTCCCTGAGAGAACGCGAGGGTTACAATTGAAATAAGAGAATAAAGACTAAACAACTGAGGTTGGATGTATCGGAAGATTTCACGAAGAAACGTACACAAGAGGCTATTTAGCGGAAGTCTCCCCGCTTGGCTTTGAAAACCCAGTGCAGAGCCCTGCTTCCCAGGCTCACGAACTTTGTACCCGAGATACCCTTACTGATCCAGCAGATGACGCCAGCGCCTGCAGTTCTCCAGGCGCGCTGGGGACGCTCTAGCTTACCTACGCCTCTAGCTAGCTCATTTCCGCCGCCTCTACGACCCTGCCTTCCGCCTCCCGAGCCGGCGTCTCCCCGTGCCGGCGCGCAATGCGCAGGCGCTGGAGGCTGTCCCGTAGGAAGCATGGCGGCGACTTCGAGTGCGGAAAAGGAGAAAGAGCGGCCGGGTGGCAACTCTGGAACAGTAGGTGGTAACAGCACACGAGAGCGGCTGTTGTCTGCGCTGGAAGATCTGGAGGTGTTGTCGAGGTAATACCGCTGAACTCAGGCCCTTACTGGGGCAGGGCCGGGCATTTAGGACCGACCATGGACTGTGCTCGTTCCCAGGCTCGGCTGGAAGGGTCGCGCTCTGGAGGATCCGCAGTGGACTCCCAAAAATAGTTGTAGTCTTGGCGTCCGCAATCTTCTTAAATTCCGAAGCGGCGTCTTTTCCCATTGGAAGATATTTAGTATTGATAGTGACCCCGGAGACCCAAGACTGTTAGAGCCGTAGCGGACCTTAGAGATCCCGCAGTCTGGGCGCTGGGAAGACGGTAGTTAAGAGGGAATCTGGATGCCGACTTGGGGGAACCCGGTGTCCACAGGGAGAGACAGCCATGACCATGGTGGGGCCTGTTTTTATCACTGGTGTGCGCTGGTTCCCCACCTTATGGACCAGGCGCCTATCCCAGCAGTAATCAGGACCGCGTCTTGGATGGAGAAAAGGCTGCGTTAGAAAGAAGGAGCTCACAGATCCACAAGTACATGATCACTTGAGATGCGGAGTACGCTTTTGTTTGCTCTAATAGAAGCTGCAGTTCTTCTGTTGCCTTTTTACCTTGGCGTCCCAAGAAGCCTTTTATTTCTCATGAGCTCGTCAGCCTCATCACTAAATCTCTTAACAAATTGGTGATAATGCATCTTTCCTGAGACACTCTGAAGCCTATGGTAACATCCATTGTCTTCAGGGTTCATTTTCCATTTCCCTTCATTTTTCTTTTGACTTACTGACCATGTGTTTTGGTTCATCTCTGAAGAAAGACTGAGTGAAAATGTTGTCACTAATGTTATAAGGAGAGACCAGCCCCTGGAGACGGACATCATGAGATGGATTTCACAGTGGCAACAGCAGTGGGCTCAAGCGTAACAACTGTGAGGTTAGCCCAAGACCCTGCAGTTCTTAAAACCAACATCTGTGCTCTTCAACACTTTAAAGAGGTCTTATACAGCATATTTGCTTAATGCAATATGTTGTTTGATTTCTTGACTGTTACTTCCATTAGTATTGATGGTTGACCTTAGCAAAATGAAGTTTTGACAGTTTCAATCTTTTCTCCATTTATATGGATGCTGTTTATTGGTCCAGTGGTGAGGATTTTTGTTTCCTTTACATTGAGATGCAGCCCTTACCGAAGATTGTGGTCTTTGATCTTCATCAGTATTTTAAGTCCTTGTCACTTTCAACAAGCAAGGCTGTATCATTGGCATATTGTAGGTTGTTAATGAGCCTTCCTCCAATACTGATGCCTCTTGTTTCTTCATACAATCCATCTTCTCAGATTATTTGTTCAAAATACAAATTGGATACATATGGTGAAAGATTACAACCGTGGCGCACACTTTTCTTATTTTTAAACCATTTGGTGTTCCTGTGTTCTGTTTGAACAACTGTATACAGATTACTGAATAATCATACTTCCTAATGTTATCCATAGATTTTTATGATCCACACAAAAACGTTTGCATAGTCAATAAAGCATAGATAAACATCTTTCTGTCATTATCTGCTTTTAGCCAAGATCCATCTGCTGTCAGCAATGATATCCCTCATTCCATGTCATCTTCTAAATCTGGCTTGAATTCTGGAAGTTCTCTGTCAATGTATGGTTGCACCTGTTTCTGTGTTACCTTTAGTCAAACTTGTATTGGATATCAATGATGCTGTTCAATTTCAACATTCCGTTGGGTCACCTCTCTTGGACACAAATACGGATCTCTTCCAGTCAGTTGGCCAAGTAGTTGGTCATCCAAATTTCTTGGCATACATAAGTGAGTGCCTCCTGTGTCACATCAGTTTGTTGAGGGATTTCTATTTGTATTCCATCTATTCTCAGTACCTTGTTCTATGCCATTGACTTCAATGCACCTTGAACTTCTTCCTTCAGGATCATTGACTCTTGATCATATGCTACCTCTTGAAATAGTTGAATGTCAACCATTTCTTTTTGGTAAAGTGACTCTGCATTCCTTCCATCTTTGGATGCTTTCTACATCATTCAATATTTTGCCCATAGCATCCTTCAATACTGCGTGTCGAGGCTTGAATTTATTCTTCAGTTCCACTAGCTTGAGAAATGCTGAACGTGTTCTTCCCTTTTGGTTTTCTAACTCCAGATCTTTGCACACTTTGTTATAATATTTGACTTTATCTTCTCGAGCTGACCTTCGAAGTTTTCTTTTCAGCTCTTGTACCTCCTCATTTTTTCCATTTGCTTTCTCATTGCTATGCTAGAGAGCAAGTTTCAGTCTCTTCTGGCATCCATTTTAGTTTTTTCCTTCTTTCTTGTCTTCTTAATGACCTTTTGCTTTCTTCCTGTATGATCTTGATGACTTCTCACCACTCTTTTAGTTTTCAGTCATTAGTGTCTAATGCATCAAATCTGTTCTTCAGATGCTTTCTGACTTCAGGTGGGATATGTTCAAAGTCATATTTTGGCTCTCATGGACTTGTATTCATTTTCTTCAGCTTCAACCTGAATTTGTATATAATCATTTGATGTTCTGTTCCAGAGTATATCCCTGGCTTCGTTTTAGCTGATGATATGGAGCTTTTCCAGCGTCTCTTTCCACATATGTAATCTGTTTGATTTCTATGTATTCCATCTGGTGAGGTTCATGTGTATAGTCGACTTTTATGCTCTTTAAAAAAGGTATTTGAAATGAGCAAATCATTGGCCTTGCAGAAATCTATCATGCGATCTCCGGCATTATTTCTGTTACAAAGGCCATATTTTCCAACTACTGATCCTTCCTCTTTGCTCCCAACTTTTGCATTCCAATCGCCAGTGATTATCAGTACATCATGATTGCATGTTTGATCTGTTTCAGACTGAAGAAGTTGGCAGAATTGTTAAATTTCATCATCACTTATTCTAGTGGTTGGTGTGTAAATTTGAATAATAGTGATATTAACTGGTCTTCTTGTAGGCATATGGATATTATCCTATCACAGTGTTGTACTTCATGACTTTGATATGTTCTTTTTAATGATAAATGCAACGTCATTCCAAGCATAGTGAACCATGTGATTGTCAGATTCAAAATGGGTAATACCAATCCATTTCAGCTCAGTAATGCCTAAAATATCGATGTTGCTGCATTGCATTTCATATTTGATAATTTCCAACTTTCCTAGATTCAAACTTAAATACATTCCCTGTTCTGATTATTAATGAAAGTTTGCAGCTTTTTCTTCTCATTTTGAGTTGTGCCCCCATCAGCAGATGAAAGTCCCGAGGACTTTACTCCATTTGCGTCATCATGGTTAACTCTACTTTGAGGAGGCAACTCTTCCCCAGTTGCAATTTGCATGTCTTTCAACCTAAGGGGCTTATCTTTAGGCACTATATCTGACAATATTCTGGTGCTCTTCATCAAATTTCCATATTCTGGTGCTGGTAGTGTTCCACTGCTATTCATAAGGTTTTCAGTGACTAAATATGTGTAAGTAGTCTGTCTCTCCTTCTAGTCTCTGTTTGTCTGGAAGCTCAGCTGACACCTATCCACCGTGGATGATCCTGCTGGTATTTAAGATAGTCATAGTATAGCTTCCATAATCACAGCAACTACCAAGCCACAGTGCAACAAAATGACAGATGAGAGGTGGGTTTCCAAGGAGCAGTTGGTGAATTTGAACTACCAATCTTGCAGTTCAAACTGACCTTGTGATATCGTGCATTATCCCACAGTGCCACACCAGGACTCCTGAATTAGTAATAATGATTTTGTATGTGCCACATAATAAAGTAATGCTACAGTTTGGTTTATAAACTGTTTTGTTACTGTTGTTAAATGCCCTTGAGTCAGTTCCAACTCATAGTGATCCTGTATAGGGTTTCCAAGGAGTTGCTGGTGAATTTGAACCGCCAACCTTGTGATTGAAACCAAACTTTTGGTCCAGTGCATTATCCCACAGTGCCACACCAGGACTCCTCAAACCATTTTATGTACCTTAAATTTTAAATATAATAGGTTTATTGGGGTGCTATGTAACTAACTACAGTTTGTACATAAGTTGGACACTCAACCTGTGCTGTATTTGCAAAGGTGGTTTTTGTTTATTTCTTTCAGAGAACTTATAGAAATGCTGGCAATTTCAAGAAACCAAAAGTTGTTACAGCCTGGAGAGGAAAACCAGGTAAGAGATTCCTTTTGGAATTAAAAACAAAACAAAAACCAATTTATGTAGACTTCTTGTGTATGTTTATTTTGGGTGAGAAAAGGCTAATTGGTAGCTTTTAAAATTATTAAGTTTGAAACTTAACTTGTATTCTTATTAACATAATTTGCCTCAGAAAAAATAGTTGTATAGAAGTTTAGCAGAATGTTCTCTTCTTTAGAGTTCTTATTACTATTATACTTATATTCATTATCTTCTGAATTATTCAACAATAGCTTGTTAATGGAAATTAAAGCTACTTGACCAAAAAATTAATGCTCTCATGAATTTAGCCCTTTTTTGTAGGCTTGGTTCCTCTAATGCAACCTGAAAATGAATGAAAATAAGAATTTACCACTGTTCGTAGCGGTTATCTCGTGAGTGTTGTTGTGAAGTGCCTTCGAGTCAGTTCTGACTCATAGTGACCCTGTTTAGAGTTTTCAAGGAGCAGTGGTGAGTTTGAACCACCGGCCTTGTGGTTCACACTGACCTTGTAGTCCAGTGCTTTATCCCACAGCACTACACCAGGACTCCTGTGAGTGTTGAGTAGTTTTTATTTCCATTATACTTTTCTGTGTTTTCCAAAAGTAAACAGATCCCCTACCCACCCACCCACCCCTGATTTGAATGAAGAGAAAATTAATGGGAAGAATGACCTTTTCAAAGAAGATACAAGATAGAAGAGACCACAGTATCCAGTAGACCTTTTACTCCCATCCCTTGCCCCAGTGCTGTTTAGTCTTGTGGAGTCTTGAGGATTGAGGACTTTGATAGAGTCCCATTAGAGAAGTGATGGGGTGCCTTTTTTCTTCTAAGAATTCTCTCAAATCATTGGTCATTTAAGGCCCTAAATTTTCATAAAACTCTGACTTTCATTTTTGTTTTGGGCTTATTTTTGGAAAAAGGGTAACATAAAATAAGCAGCTAGTTCTTGAAACTAAAATAGTAGAAGCCCGATATTTCAAAAATTCAATAAATAGTGTTGGCTTCTTAAAGTTAGTCAAGACAGAAAGACTGAATGAAAGAACAAAGAGCAGATGGCCCATAGGCTGAGGAGGAAGAAGAAAGACCAACGTTCCCTGCCTACTTAGCTTCTCCATCAATAACTGCTGAGATCAGACACTCCCAGGATAAGCTGGCTATTCTGTGAAATATATTTTTGTTGTTATTAAGTTGCCATTGAGTTGCTTCTAACTCGGTGATCATGTGTTGTTTTTATGTGCAGTGGAGTCCATTCTGACTCATAGTGACCCTGTATAGGGTTTCTGAGGCTGTTGATCTTTACGGGAGCAGAAAGTCTCATCCTTCTGCGGAACAGCTGCTAGTTTTGAGCTGCTGACCCTGAGGTTAGCAGCCCGATTCATAACCACTATGCTACCAGTGATCACGTCTAGGGTTTCTAAAAAACCTTAGACCTGTTAATTTTGGTCCGCCAACCTTGCGGTTAGCAATCCAGTGGTTATCCTACAGCACCACACCAGGAACCCATATTTTGTACTTAGTACATGTGAATTCCTGTATAATTTTCATTCTATTAACAATATAAAGGAATATGCACATTTTAAAACTTTTTAGCTACTCTTACTTAAATATTCAAAATTTTTTAGATTTTAAGAATTAGAAGGGATCTTAGAGGTCTTTTGTTCAACTTCCCAAGAGATTGATCGTGGAGTGGATAAATGCACTAGTCCTAAGGCTTCAGATGATTTTTTTTTTTTTTTTCCTTCAACTGAACAATAAAATCCAAAGAGAATCTTTATTACTTTCAAGTAGTATGTATACAAAGTGGTGACATACCAGCCACTCAGATCTGCAGATGTGGCAGTGGTTGTTGTTGGTGTGTGCTGTGGAGTCGGTTCCGACTCATAGCGCCCCTGTACAGTTTCCGAGGCTGTAAATCTTTACAGGAGCAGAAAGCCTCATCTTTCTCCCGCAGAACAGCTGGTAGTTTTGAATTGCTGATCTTAAGGTTTGCAGCCCGATTCGTAACCACTACACTACCAGAGCTCCTGCAGATGTGGCAGTAGGCTTCTGTAAAGATTTGCAGCCCTGGACACCCTAGAGCATTTTTACTCTGTGCTAAGGAGCTCTGGTAGCATAATGGTTACAAATCGGACAGTGAACCACAAAGTCAGCAGTTTGAAACTACCAGCTATTCCGTGGGAGAAAGATGAGGCTTTCTGCTCCAGTAAAGATTTACGGCCTCGGAAACCCTGTACAGGGTTGCTATGAGTCGCACTGACTCCACGGCACATAACAACAACATAGGTTCGCTGTGAGTTGGAATTGACTCAGCAGCAGTGGGTGGGTGTATTTGTTGTTAAGTGCCATCGAGTTGATTCCGACCCATGGCAACCCTGTATAGAGTTTCTGAGCACCAGCTGGTGAGCTTGAACTGCCAACCTTGCAGCTCAAATGGCTTTGCAGTCTGGTGCATTAACCCACAGCACCACACATTAAGTTCTTGAAAGTTGTTATGGAATTAATGTGTGTCTCTTATGTTAGTTAACTCTTTGAATAGAGGTTTCATGGAAATGGAAACCTAGCTTTCTTCTCCTTTAACTAGGGGAAACTGGGAAATAGTCTTAGTAAACAAATACTTTTAACAGTAAAAGCTTTCTATTGTTACTTAAAATCTTAATACAAGGTTAGTGGCTGCTGCTGTCTTTTGTCTACTCTGTCGTTTGTTGTTATTCAGTACCATCCAGTTGATTTGAATGGCTGACCTTTTGGTCCAGTGCTGATCGTACAGTGCCACACCAGGAGTCCATTGTATCAGTAAAAGTCCTAAAAAAAAAAAAAAAAAGAGGAATTTTATGTCAAAAGGAACTTGAAGAAGAATGTGTGTTTTTAGTCTTTAACAAATAAATTTTAATTGATTCTGGATTTTGATAAGTCTTTCCTTTATGATGTGTCATTGCCTACTTGGCACAGAAAAGTAAGGGTATTCAGACTTGTTGCTGTTAAGTGCCGTCTAGTCGATTCAGACCCATAGCGACTCTGTGTAAGGTTCCCAAGGAGCAGCTAGTGAGGTTGAACCACCTACATTTAGTTCTGTAGTTGGGTAGTGAGCTATTCCTTTTCTTAAAGACAAAGTGGGCTCAGAGAAGTCAAGTAAAATTTCCTGTGTCACATTGCTAATAAGTAAAGGAGTAGAAATTTGATCCCTGGACTGTATTTTATGCTTTTTAGCCTTTGTGGTTGTTTTTGTTTTTTGTTTTTAACTCCTTATCTCCAGATAACTATATTTATTGATTTGCTGTTTTTGTTTTTTAAAGTTTTTATTGTGGATTGAGTGAGAGTTTACAGGGTAGATCATCAGTTTTACGTTCAACAGATCATACACCTTGTTTCATTACAGTGATTATAATCCCCTCCGTTTACCATCAGTTAACAGTATCTCTCTGTATTTACTTTAGCTTTTTTTTTTTTACTGTGGAAAAGATTTATTAGTTTGTACAAGTTGGTTTCGGTAAGCTATTGACTGCTTGTTACAGTAAATGATCAAGATTTTCATTGGAACAGAATTTTCCCATTCACATTAGAATCTGGAAGTATTATGCCTTTCTCAAATTGTCATTTAGTGTTTCTAGCTTGGTTTCTCCCCTCCCATTCCTCAAACTACAGAACTAGGTTTGTATATCAACTAGTCATTGTCTTAAAGATACAGACATAGTCATAAACATTATACAGGTTATGGGCGAGGTATGTGGACAAATACAACCAAATTTTTGAAAAAAGGGAGTTGATTTAAAAGTTGTAAGAATGACATGAATTACAATAAAACTCAATTCATGTCCTTCTGAAACCAAAACGGGGGAAACCTTACTGCCATCTGCCAGTTGCCACATAAATAAAATGCTACACAGAAACATGAATCAATGCTAGTTTAGAAGCATCATCAGAACAAATAGAGATTTAATTATAAATTGGCCTGGGCTACTTTCTGTTAGGAGAAAGTTTTTTAATACTAAAAGAGAATCTGTCAGCAAACATCCTAGAAAATCTGTGAAGTCATGTTCTTTATTATTCCTGAAAGGAATTTTGCCAGGTTTGATGAATATACCTCCCAATGTCCTCAAACACTCAGGCATATATAATAATTGACATCTCCAAAGGGCACATTCTCCAAGTCTGCATCCTGGCCACAAGTTCTTAGTCCCCTCTCTTCCCATGAATCTAGAGTCCTCAGCTGCTCCCCATTTCCATGTCCCCATCTCTGCCTCCGTGTCTGGCATCGCTGCTTCTCTGGATAAGGTACCCCCATTCTACTTGTGCTCTTTTCCCTTGGTGGTCCTAGGGTCCTCTGTTTTTTGACTGTAAGATTAACCACTCCCCTGTTTTTGTTACAAAACTACCTTTACGATTATGACAGTTGCAATTAGTCATGATAACAGTTATTCACTATTGAATCATATGAATCATATCCCCATCTCTTTTCACCAGACCCATCTAGACAAGATGAAAACTTTATCAGTGGGGATTCTTTCTTACCCCCCACCCCC